CATTCCTGCCTGCCTCACAAAGACCTACGGCAGCAAGTCATAACACTTCCTGACAGGCTATGGGAGTAGCGGTCGGCGTGTCTGCCAGAGAGGGAGGCGGGATAGGCAGGCACAGACGGGAGAAGGAGAGGGGGAGGGGAAAGTGTGCATGCTTTTCTTTTTTCTTTACTACCAACGTTTCCATCCCAGATGTACTGAGAAACGCAATAAAGTCGCAAGAGAGAAAAGGGGTGGGGAAAAGCTAAATGCATCTCTTAAATCCACATACCGTCACTCGTCTTAAAACATCCTGTTGCTTTAAAAAGTCGCTACTGGAGAGGAAAAATAACACAGCGAACAGACATATGCTGAATCACTTGAAACTCCACTGAATCACTTGGAAACCCATGCTGAACATGTTCAAGCAGAAAGAAAGTTCAAATAAATAGATGTGCTTTTATATAGTTAAAAATACACAGTGTCAGCGCAAAAACTGCCACCGTTAGGCTACAAAAACAAATCAAACATTCTGTAATATCCTCCCAATCTATCAATGGTAAACTAATTTCAAGGACGTCTGAGCTGGTATATGTAACAAAGACTCATTCATTTGCTAAGGAAATGGGCCACATGAGAAATAACAGAACATTCCCAGAGACGGCCCTTAAATGAGGGCATGATGACCTCAAAACACATACTTACTGCTTCAATTCAGCATTAAATTGATCAAATTTGGTGTCCGCATCATAATCTTATTTCTCAGCCTAAAGTACAAGATGTTACTGGTAACATCTAAACTGGTAAGTTTACATACTGGTAAAAAATGTATAGCCTGAATGCACTGTAAGTCGCTTTGGATAAAAGCGTCTGCTAAATGCATAAATAAATAAATAATAAATAATAAAATATGTTGGCAAACTGCAAATTGGTTACAAATGGCTCAGGGTTTTAGCGCATTGCTATGCATTTGCTAGTACCCAAGTTAAAATAGCCGACCATCACTTGGGCACTAGATATGGCACCTTTTTGCCTATTTCACGTAATCGTAAGTCTTTATGAAAAGCAATGGCACAACTCTCATAATTTAGGTTATGGGAAGTTGCATGGCAACACAAACGTAAGCTCATTAACGATCACATTTAGATATCAATGTGTATTCAGCAGAAACTTGGCCACACCTTAATGAACAACAGTGTGAACTATGTTGTTTTTCACATGCAATGAGGTTAGCCAATCTCATTTACATATAACCATCTATGCAACACACTCATTGTACGACATGCAACCTACATTTTTGCAAAACCCCAAAAACATACCTATTACAAACAATTGACTTCAGTCTCCAGCTGAAATGAACACTAGTTGCAGTAAAACTTCCCAACAACTTTGATTCTGAAACTTATTTTATCACTTTTACCATAGTGCATGATTTGTAAAATAATAAATTACGACATCTGCTTCACATAACCAGCTCTGTAAGTATGGTTTTTCTGAAGTAAACTTGCTCGGTAACTCACCTGGTATAGTGCTGCGGTACATGAAACACAAGTCACGATAAAAGAGCTCAAAGACTTGTAGAAGCAAACTAAAATGGCATCATTGCATCTGCACGTGTTTTTATCTCACTTTTACTTTTACTAACACTATTGGTTAGGTTTAGGGCCGGGTTTAGTGTAAGTGGCAAGTAAGTAGCATTAACATTTTAGCACCACTCACTAGATACTTACAACAACCAGTGTAATAAAACACTAGCAAACTCTCAAACAAAATCATCATGTTTGTAATGTTGTTTAATAATACTGGTTGCACATAAATTCCACAATTAACCAAAAGCGTTTTTGGTGCAAGAATACTTGACTAATATTGTTAAAAAATATAAGGTCTTACAGGAGCTTTGCACACATTGCATACATTACAAACATTTCTAGACAGAAGTGAAAGATTGCTTTCATTATGTCTAAATGTGTTACCAGACCACTGAGGAATTCTATGAGATTCTGACATTCCTGAAGATCAGGTTACAGCACAACACAACACAACACATCACCTGTTAAACAAGTCAGATCTTGAACATCAGGAACGTTCGGTTTTAAGAGGCAGAATTGTAGTGGAAAAATACACTTCAAGGTGATCCGCTGAGATCACAGTTTGGTTGCTTCTTCAAACTCCACAATGGCAAAATGACAAATCAGATGTTAAAGCACTCTCATCTCTGTTGTTCACAAAAATAGCTGAAACTTAGCATCTTGCTGCCTGAGGACAAATCATTTGGAGTGTGAAGGAGCAGAACAAAGCCTACTTCAGTGCAAACAGTGAAGACAGGTGTTCACTTACAGGTCCTTTTGTAAACTCAATCTGAAATGCACACGGGACATTTACTGAGGCGAGAGAGACATGATTTTATATTCTGTATGTAAACCAAGGAATAACAGCCTGGCCGGCTGAATAGAAACAAGGCTCACCTGTCAAGAACATGTCCAGGTCGTATTTTAACCCAGGAAAAATGTAAGCCATTTATTAAAATAAATTTAGTAAGCACAAAATAATAATATTTACCTTAAGTATTAATTCAATACTAATTCATATCTAACTGAATTTATTTGCTTGCATTTTTATTTTTATTTTTTTTTTTAACTGTCC